GGAAGGAAGGTTGGGCAATCCTACTTCCGTAGTGATACTGCCTCGGAAACCCAAGGAGGGGTCGCTATGAGTCGGGGTCGACTCGACGGCACATAACAACAACAACAACAACAACATTCATCTATTTGCCCTTGAGCGAAGAGTATCTAAAGCAAATGGAAGAAATCACAAGATAAAAGAGCTGAACAGAAGATTTCAAAGAGCAACTTAAGCAGACAAAGCCAATTACTATAATGAAATGTGCAAAGACCTGGATTTGGAAAACCAAAAGAGAATAATAATGTCAGCATTTCTCGAGCTGAAAGAACTGAGGAAAAAACTTAAGCCTTGAATTGCAGTACTGAAAGTTTCTGTGGGTAAAATATCGAATGATGCAGAAAACATCAAAAGAAGATGGAAGGAATACACAGACTCACTGTACCAAAAAGAATGGTCAATCTTCATTCATTTCAGGAGCTGACATATGTTCAAGAACCAGTGGTATTGAAGGAAGAGGTCCAAGTTGCACTGAAGGAATTGGTGATGAACAAGTCTCCAGGAATTGATGAATACCCATTGAGATGTTACAAGAAACGAATGCCCCACTGGAGGCACTCACTCGGCTATGCCAAGATATTTGGAAGACAGCTATCTGGCCAATTGACTGAAAGAGATCCATATTTGTACCCATTCCAAAGAAAGGTGATCCCACAGAATGTGGAAATTATTGAAAAATATCATTAATATAACATGCAAGTAAAATCTTACTGGAGATAATTCAAAAACAGTTGCACTAGTATATTGGCAGAGAACTTGAAGAAATGCACGGTGGATTCAGAAGAGGATATGGAACGAGGGATAGTATTGCTGATGTCAGATGGATCTTGGCTGAAAGCAAAGAATACCAGAAAGATGTTTACCTGTGTTTTATTGACGATGCAAAAGCATTTTATTGTGTGGATTATAACAAATTTTGGGTAACACTGAGAAGAATAGGAATTCCAGAATACTTATTTGTACTCATGAGGAACCTGTATATAGACCAGGAGGCTGTCGTTTGAACAGAACAAGGGAACACTACATGCTTTAAAATCAAGAGAGGAGTCAGTCAGGGTTGTATCCTTTCACCATACTTATTCAATCTGTATGTTGAGCAAATAATCCAAGAAGCTGGTCCATATGAAGTAGTACGTGGCATCAGGATTGGAGGAAGAGTCATTAACAACCTGCGATACACCGAGAACACAACTTTCTTGCTGAAAGTGCGGATGACTTGAAGCACTTACTGATGGAGATTGAGGAATACAGTCTGCAGTATGGATTACACCTCAGTATAAAGAAAACAAAAATCCTCACAACTGTACCTATAAGCAGCATCATGATAAATGGAGAAAAGGTTGAAATTGTCAAAGACTTCACGTTGCTTGGTTCTGTAATCTATGCCAATGGAAGCAGCAGTCTGGACATCAGATGACATACAGCACTGGGCAAATCAAGTGCAAAGGACCTCTTTCATGAGCTGAAGAGCAAAGATGTCTCCTGACACAAGCTATGGTATTTTCAGTTGCCTCATATGCATGTGAGAGCTGGACAACAAATAAGGAAGACCTAGGAAGAATAGATGCTTTTGAGCTGTGTTGTTGGTGAAGAATGCTGAAAGTACCGTGGACTGCTAAAAGAACTAACAGGTCGGTCCTGGAGGAAGTGCAGCTGGAATGCTCCTTGGAGGCAAGAATGGCCAGAATTCATCTCACATTCTTTGGTCATGTTGTCAGAAGGGATCATTCCCTGGAGAAGGATGTAATGCTTGGTAAGGTGAGGGGAAGGCCCTCAATGAGATCGATTGACACGGTGGCAGTAGCGATGGGCTCAAGTACAGCAAGGATCTTGGAGCTTGTATGGGAGTGGGTGGTGCTTCCTTCTGCTGTGCATAGGGTCGCTATGAGTCAGAGACGGCACCTAACAACAACGTTCTATTCATAAAACTTTTAGTGGTTGTATAACATTTCGTCATACTTCTATGCCAAAGTATATGTCAATTATTTTGTGTTTACTCATCTTATCCTTGTACATTTAAGCTTTAGATATAATCTAGTTCTTTATGTTTTTCTAAGTTCACAGTTGCTTTTTTTTTTATTATTATACCTCTCAATTATCATCTTTGAAATTCTATTCATAAAATTAGTGGTTAAGCCATTAAATTCAAAGCTTAATTTTTAGTTAAATTTACAAACTTCTCAATTTCTCACTCCAATTAAAAAAAAAAAAAAAAAGCCTCACAGATATATCTTGGAATTTAGACAAGGAAATAATTTGAGATCCTTATCTGATTATTTATTTATTTTTTGTTGATTCTTCAAGAGTTGAGTTATATTCTCTTTTTATCTCCTGCCCTTATAAACTAGAAATGTGTTTTCTGCAACTCTTATTTTCCCTCATTTTGTTTCACATACCTTGGTTTTGAAAATAACTTTTAATCTCAATTAGAGTATTACATGTACTATTCCTTTAGTGCTTTATTTCTGTCATATTTCGTGTCCAGTCTATTTATCATCATTATGGCTAAGACACTTGCCTGCTAACCAGATGGCTGGTGCTTCAAACCCACCAGCCACTCCTCGGAAGGAAGGTTGGGCAATCCTACTTCTGTAGGGATACTCCCTCGGAAACCCAAGGAGGGGTTGCTATGAGTCGAGTTTGACTCGATGGCACATAACAACAAAGTGGTAAATGATAGAAGGCTTTATTATGATGTTATTGTTGTTATTAGATGCTGTTATTAGTCATCCCCAAGTCAGAGCTACCGTATACACAACTGCCAGCCTTTAGTTAGCAGCTGAGCACATAACCACTGTGATACCCAGCCTCCTTAACCTGTAACCTTCTACCCACTGCCATTGAGTAGATTACAACTCATTGGGTTTCCAATGCTATAAATCTTTACGGAAGTAGATTGCCTCATCTTCCTCCTGTGGAGCAGCCAGTGGGTTTGAACTGCTTCCCTTCTGGTTAGCAGCCAAATGTCTTACTACTCACTATGCCACCAGAGCTTCTTAACCTATACCCTAGTAACCTTGACTTAGAAGTTTTTCAAGATGAACGACAGATTTTTTCCAATACAATTAAGTGGGGAAGTATTTTGTTCTTTGTAGTTTTTAGGCACCATCAAGTCAGTTCTGACTCATAGTGACCTTATGTACAGCAGAATGAAACACTGCCCAGTCCTGTGCCATCCTCATAGTCATTGCTATACTGGAAGTCATTGTTGCAGCCACTGTGTCAGTCCATCTTGTTGAGGTCTTCCTCTTTTTCTCTAGCTCTCTCCTTTAACCAAGCATAATATACTTCTTCAGGGTCTTGTTCTTCCTGATGACGTGTCCAAGTACAAAAGGTGAAGTCTAGCCATTCTTGCTTCTCAGGAGCGTTCTGCCTGTACTTCTTCCAAGACAGATTTGTTTGTTCTTCTGGTAGGCCATGGTAGTATATTCAGTATTCTTTGTCAACACCATAATTCATAGGCACATCCATTCTTCTTCAGTCTTCCTTATTCGCTGTCTGGCTTTTACATGCCGATGAGGCAATTGAAAATACCATGGCTTGCGTCAGGTGATGAAAACCATGTTGTGATACAATAGAGTTTACATAGTTTTCAACATGAGAAAATAGGAGCAGGATTATAATTTTTTATAGATGAGGAAACTGAGGTGAAGAGGTTACATAACTTGCCAGTGTTTTTAGAGTTAATGGTGGTTATGAATTCTGTCCTCCCAATATAGGTATTTAAAAATCCTAACCTCCAAGCATGTGTTTATAATTCTATTTGGGAATGGGTTATCTTTGTTATATAAATGAGTCAAGATTAGTGAAGATGTGTCTTGAGTTAATCTTGAGAGGTAAGAGATAAGCCAAGCAAGCTGAGAAGCAAGAGGTGGGGGAAGAGAGATTCCAAGCCACATGAAGATAGCCCAGCAGCAGAATCTCAGAAAGATAATTTTCCACAGCTAACAGAGAGACAAAGCCTTCCCTTAAAGCTGGCACCCTAAATTGTGACTTCTAGCCTCCAAAGCTGAGAAAATTTGTTTGTTGAGGTCACCCATTTGTGATATTTCTATTATAGCATTGCTAGATATCCAAGACAGAAATTTGATTCTGAGTGAGGTGCTGCTCTAATGAGCTGCCTAAAATGTGGAAGTAGTTTTAGAATTGGGTAATAGGTGGAGGCTGAAAGAGTTTTGAGGTGCCTAATAGTAAAAGCAGGAGCCCCAACTCACACATTATACGTTGGCTCTTGTATACAGGAGCTCTGGTAGCATAGTGTCTAAGGCACTTGACTGCTAACCAGAAGGCTGGCAGTTCAAACCCACCAGCCACTCCTCGGAAGGTTGGGCAATCTACTTTCATAGTGATACTGCCTTGGAAGCCCAAGAGGGGTTGCTATGAGTCAGGTCTGACTCGATGGCATGTAACAACAACAGTAAAAGCCTAGGTTGCCTTTAAGAGACTGTTGATAGAATTGTAGGTGTCAAAGACAGTTCTGGTGAGGGCTGAGAAAGAAGTGAGGAAAGCTATAGAAAAGTCTCTGTTGTCTTAGAGGTGACATAGAGCACTAGCAACAGAATGTTCCTGGGAATGTGGGCGTTAAGTGTGCTTCTAGTGAGGCTTTAAAGGAAAATGTAAAATCTTTTGATTCCCAGTGTTTTCTGTTACTCTCAGCTTCCTATAGGTTTGTATTAATGTCTGTTCCTTTGGGTGCACGAAAAAAAAAACATATATATGTATTTTTCATTGCTGTTGAATTGCTTATAAATACTATATCTGTAGTTTTCCAAGTCTATTTTATGAAAATGAATGGAAGAAATACATTTTCAATGAGCAGTACTCTTAACCATGTTAATTAATACGCCTAACACTTGACTTCTCCTTGAGAGTACCAGAATCGTTAATTGAGGTGTCCTTATATCAGTTGACCTTAAGTACCATAGAATCTCTGTTTCATAGAATTTGATGTTATGTTAAGTATTTCATACATAGGGCTGACTGTTCAATAATGATACCCATAGCCATAACCTAAAAGATAACTGCCAAGTCTTAAAATAGACTTAAATGTATTCTTTTTTACTCAAAGTGAAATCATACTCTATATAGTTTTACTTGCTTTTTACTCATAATATAACAATTTCCTGTATTAATATGTCTTATTTGTAGAAAATCCAAACAATAAAGAAGTAAATAAATGTATCAGTATTTCCTCTCCCATGGTCTCTGGGGTTAACTATGTAAAACAGTTCATATGTGATTCCAAGTCTTTTTTAGTACATACACACATGAGATATACACAAAGAGTAATGATAATGATAATTTTTTTAGCTGTTACTTTTTTTGTTGTTAGATGTTTTACTGTGTTTTCAATGAAAGTTTATACAGGAAATTAGTTTCTCACTGAATAATTCCTACAGATTGTTAGACATTGGTTACATTTTTCAGTGTATCATCATTTTTATTATTTGCATTCTTATTTTTCTGTTCGTAGTAATTGATTTTTTTCCTACACCCTTCTTCTCATCTTTGCTTTAGAGTAGTGTTGACCATTTTGTCTCATAGAGAAGATTTTTTTTAAAGGCGCATAGTAGTCATGGGTGACATTATTTATTTTAGAGCCAATCTATTATTTAGCCAACTGGTGACCTTCAGATGGTTTTGGTTCAAGGTTTAAAGTGTATCTCAGGGTGATAGTCTTCAGGGAGTACTTTATCTCTACCAATCCAGTAAGTTCGGACTTTTTTAAGAATTTGAGTTCTTTTCCACAGTTTTCTTCCATTCTGTAAGGATCCATCTGTTGTGTCTCTGATCACAATGGTTGGTAGTGATAAATATTAAATGCAATCATTGCCGTGGAGTCGGACCTGACCCATAGCGACCCCTCCTTGGGTTTCCGAGGCAGTATCACTACGGAAGTAGATTGCCCAACCTTCCTTCCAGGGAGTGGCTGGTGGATTTGAACCGCCAGCCTTCTGGTTAGCAATCAGGTGCCTTAGGCGCTGTGCTACCAGAGCTATTATGGTAGTTATAGCCAACCTCTAATAGCCAATCTCTATGTAGTTCCTTTGATCTTGGGGTAGATGAGACCGTGGTTCCTATAGACCATTGTTGTTGTTGTTGTTGTTATGTGCCGTCGAGTCGGACCCAACTCATAGCGACCCCTCCTTGGGTTTCCAAGGCAGTATCACTACGGAAGTAGATTGTATTTTCTCCTCTGAGTCTTTGGTTTCCTTCTTTCTGTTTTGCTCTGGGCCAGTAGAGCCAAATAGTTGAAGAAGGCCTCTCGAAACCTTTTAAGAACCCAGACACTGGTCACCAAGTTAGGATGTAGAACATAAACTTGGTGAACTATATTATGCCAGTTAACCAAGATGTCCCATGAGACTATAAGGTCCTAAGCATTCAAGCCTGGCAAACCAATCCAGTGAAAAGTTTCTCTAAGAAATACCTGTAACTGTCCCCCATATGTGCTTTATTACATATATGAATGTATATACATACTATATGCATATACACTTACATACGTAACTTCACATTTATTGGTTTTTGTAAAATTAAATATGTCGTAGCATTTAGGTCCTTTTATCTTGTGTACTTCTTATTGACATCATTTATATTAGTCAGGCTACACACACTTTAACTACTGTCTGCTATCTAGAATATGATTCCCTTTCTTCTTTCCCATCCATCCCTGGTAACGACCAATGAATGTTGGTTTCTATATATATACCTATTCTTGAGATCATACGCTATTTGTCATTTTGTGATTGACTTAGTTTACTCTACATAATGTCCTCCAAATTGATCCACATTATAAGAAGTTTGGTGAACTCCTTCCTCATTATTCTTTATGGCTGTGTAGTATTGCAATGTATGTAGGTTCTCTCTATCTTTTTACTCCTGTGAATAGTGCTACAGTGAACATAGGTGTCCATATGTGTGTTCATGTCTCTTTTATTTGATTTCTAGGGTATATACTCTTAAGAGTGGGATTGCTGGATCATAAGGTAGTTCTATTCTAGTTTTTTGAGGAAGTGCCATACTGTTTTCCCATAATGGTTGTACCATTTTACAATACTACCAGCAGCGGATCAAGCATCCAGTCTCCCTACAACTTTGCCATTGTTTTCTTTATTAATTAATTTTTTATAAGTGACATTTTAGCCTGAGTTAAGATGGTATGTCCTTTGAGGTTTGATTTGCATCTTTCTAATGGCTACGATTATGACCATCTTTTCATGTGTTTGTTGGCTGCTTAAATGTCTTCTTTGATGAAGTATCTATTCCCGCCCTTTGCCCATTTTGAAAATATTTGGTTGTTTTGTCTTTTTTTTTTTTTTTCCCCCCGAATATTTGACATTTTCTCTATATTTTAGAGACAGACTCTTACTGGGTTTGTCATACCCAAAGATCTTTGATGATTATAAGTAATTTTGATGAGTATAAGTAATTTTGTCTTCTGCTGTTCATGTATTTGTAGTTATGTTTGATAATTTTTTTTATTTTTATTTTTTTAAATTAGGTCCCCTAATTTTGTTCTCTAAGTTTTCTTCTATAACTTTACAGTTTTAGATTTGACATTTAGGTCTTTGATCCATTTTTAGTTTTTGTGTAGGGTGTGAAGTTATGGGTACTATTAAGTCTTTTATGTTCCTGGTTAGGTTTATTCCTTGTATTTTGTCATTTTGGGGGGCTATTATAAATGGTATATAGCCATTACTCTTGATGGACATTTAGATCCCCAGTTTATCTCTTTTATAAAATAATGATGTAATAAATATTTTTATTTTTCTTTAAGGATTGCTGCATAAAAATAGTTTGGCCATGCCAGTGGCACATTATTTTTCAGCCTAAGTATTGCTGTAATAGTCTTCTCTATACCTTTTCCAATGCCACATCCCCTGATCACTTTTAATATGTTTATTAGCAGTTTGTGTTTCTTTTAGAAATTATCTGTATTTATTTTCCTTTTTTCCCCCTCTGATACACCATGTTGTTGTTATGTGCCATCGAGTCGGCCCCGACTCATAGCGACCTCTCCTTGGGTTTCCGAGGCAGTATCACTACGGAAGTAGGATTGCCCAACCTTCCTTCCGAGGAGTGGCTGGTGGATTTGAACCGCCAGCCGTCTGGTTAGCAGGCACGTGTCTTAGCCACTATGCTACCAGAGCTCCCCTGATACACCATATGTGCTTGATTATGTATAATTCCAGTATGTGAGCCAAAATTAATCACTCCTTAGTCATTTTTTTTTTAAAGGAAATTAGAAAGCCGACTGACAGGTTATTTATCTTTTGTTTACATAGAGAGAAGAGCAGAGATCGTGAAAGGGAACGGGAGCGAGAAAGAGAGAGAGAGCGGGAACGGGAAAGAGAACGGGAGCGAGAGAGAGAGCGAGAAAGGGAGCGGGAGAGAGAAAGAGAGAAAGACAAGAAACGGGATCGAGAAGAAGATGAAGAAGATGCATATGAACGAAGAAAACTTGAAAGAAAACTCCGAGAGAAAGAAGCTGCTTATCAAGAGGTAAATTGAGGAAATGCTTTTATTCTTGCAGCTTGGTGCTTTGGTAATTTGTCATATTTTGTAGAGCTTTTCAGTAGTTCTTTTAAAGCTTTGCCAATTTTTTGTTTCGTTTTTTAGCGCCTTAAAAATTGGGAAATCAGAGAACGGAAGAAAACGCGGGAATATGAGAAAGAGGCTGAGCGAGAAGAAGAACGAAGAAGAGAAATGGTAAGATTCTTAGTTTTTTGAAAAATAAAAATTAGGTCGGATTTTTAATATTAACTAAAATCTTTATAATTAAAATTTCTAAGTCCCAGTTCATCGATCATTTTTCTTTTTGCTTATTTCAAGCAACCTTGACAGTTTCATTACATCAAAATATTTTGTCCTGCTATTTTTCATGTTTTTGCTGCATATAAAATTAATTGCTTTTTGTATGCAATCAAAATAAAACTTATTGATTAACATTTCAAATAAAAATTTACAGAACATTTCTTTGAGTAAGAATCTGCAAAAGTTGAAATTCAAGGGGCTTTGATCTGTGAATTGCAGTGTATTTGGATGAAGCAAATAGTGTGCTGGGAAGAACTGCTTTTATAAATCAAAATTAATGTTTCTGTATGTAACATTTAAGGAGTTCTGGTGGCATAGTGCTTAAGGCATTTGACCACTAACCAGTAGGTTGGCAGTTCAAACCCACCAGCCACTCCATGGGAGGAAAACTGGGCGATCTACTTCCGTAAAAATATACTGCCTCAGAAACCCAAAGCAGGTCGCTGTGAGTCGGAATCGACTCAATGGTAGTGAGTTTAGGGTTTGTTTTTTTTTTTTCTTTTTGTATGTAACATTTATATAGTTTTTTCTTATATTACCATGTTACTCTTGTTTCACCTACATAGTAATCATAAAACTGAATTTTGTGTTTTGCATTTACATTGTTGATGAACTTTAACAGTGAAGTGTTTGGCTTAGGCTGTAATTAAGTAAAGTGAAAAAAGAATTTATTTTATCATAGTTTGCTTCAGTAGTATATTCCATGTGTTCTGTCTTTGCCAGAATTTCATGAAAATTTCTTTATCTCCAGTTTGGAGATTATTCTTCCAAAAACTTCACTGAAGTTAGGAATCTTCTTCAAATAGCTTTTGAACATGAGACATAGAGGGAATTTTTGTAAGTAACCAAAAGGAGGGTGCATGCAGCAATAGATAGCTAGTTTGGGTTTTCTGGATATTAGATCCTCTAACAATATAGAAATTATTTAAAATAATTTTAACTTAATTGTTTTATACCTCTTGTTTTGGATTTCTTTTTCATTCCCAGATTAGAAAATAGGCAGGAGAACAATATAACAAGAAGTTTAATTATTTGACAAATGCTTTCCATCAGCAATATTGTGGAGAATAAAGTTCTTAAAATAATTGTTTCCTATGAGGAAATCTGAAACCTGTCTTTCTAGTGAAAAATTCTGCAGCCTCCCTCCACCCCCACCCCCACCCCACCCCCATCCCCATCCCCTTTGTTGGTTTGGGAGCTTTAAAAAAATTCTGTTACTTAAGCAGTTACTTGCTTGTTCTAGTTATCTAGTATTCCTCAGACAAGAATATACCACAAATGGGACGGCTTGAAGAAACAGGAGTTTATTCCCTTACAGGTTGGAGGCTTTTAAGTCCATGTTCAAAGTGCCAGGCTCTAGGGGCTGGGTGAAAGCCCCTCAACCTTGGCCTTCAGCTCTGCCTCCTGCTCCTGGCCCACTGGAGCTAGAGGCTTTTCTTCACTCAGCTGGTGGCTGCTGAGGTTGACAAGTAAAAAGGCACAATCCCAATGTTACCAAACCACATGGCAGGCCGTTAATTCAAGTCCGTTGAAAGTCCCAAGATCGGCAGACCATGGCAGATACAGCTACATGCAGGGTTCAAGTGTGCCTTAAGCTTGAGACCATTCCCAAAGCTGTTTCTTATATACGAGAAGCAGGCCACATACCCAAAGCAGCTCTTCAGCTGCTCACAGTAGATTCCACCATGGTGTTGATTACCTGTCTCATCATGGGGAATACAACATCCAGCTGCCTAAACAACTCAGAATTGTTGTCCAGCCAAATTGACACACAGCTCCAACTATCACACTTGATCATTATAAAAATGTTCAAGCAACACAAGTACATGAACGTGTCTATCTTTTTTAAGAGAAGTAAGTTGTGTTTATATTTTAGTGTATACATAATAGGCCTTCCTTGTTTGCCCATACTTTAACAATTGTTTTATTTAGATGTTTGAAAGTACTATCATTGTCATTGCTACCTTACCTATATTTATTGAGTGCGAGGTCCTGGGTGTACGAGAATGACAAATAGTTCTTACTTTCTAAAGAGTGGGCAGTATAGTATAGTCAGGTTAGTTACTGTAGAGGAAGAGAACACGTGTACGAGAGACCATGTAAAAGTACAGTGAAAAGCGTACAGTGAAAGTTTGTTCCCAGTGTTTTCAGTGTATAGAGAAAGAATGACTGTTTTGCCTTGAGAGAAGAACTAGTCATGAATAGAATGTTAGGTTGAGGAAGTCTTCATAGAGAAGTGAGATTTGAACTGGATGAGCTGTATTATAATTTCACTGTTGTGGGCATCCTACCATTATCTGCCTCGTTTAGTTTTTAGATACAGTATGTATTGTATATGAAAGTCCAAAAATAGTAATAAGATACTCATAGCTTTCATGGTTGATTGTAGTGAGTTTAAGGTTAGGTAGACGTTACCTTCAGATTGATACAAGAATGTGATTTAAGTTTTAATCCTGAATTTTATAAAAACTATTTTCCTATGGCATCATCTACCTATAAAATAAACTTTGAAATATTTTGGTCCATTAAAAAAAATTAAGATAACTTGTAGTTTTGTTTCCTGGTGTGCTCAGGTTTCATTAGATAATTATTGTACTTTGGACAGTACACTCATAGACTTCTGTTATTGTAGCATACTGTGTGTGGTTTTCACTTCACAGATAAATCTTGTGAGTCCTGTGTTACAGGTAAAAGAGAAAAAGTTTATAATGTGTTTTTCACTTAATGTGTGAAGAATATGAGAATTACAAAGTTTAGATTGTATGGCTGAGGAAAATTTATTCCCAAGAAAAGTGAATGGGGCAGTTTCAATGACTTTCATGTTAATGTTGTATTTTTGTTGTTCATTTCCTCAAAGGCAAAAGAAGCTAAACGACTAAAAGAATTCTTAGAAGATTATGATGATGATAGGGATGATCCTAAGTATTACAGGTAAAGAAGCCTTGCTTTATAAAAGTACTTACACTATAAGTTTATCTGTATTTTTCCCTTGTCAACCAGAGCATGCAGGTTCACCAGGTTGATTGCGAAAGACAATAATCTTTACCTTCTATCTTGTAACAACCCCTGTAACTGATAATAGTAATTTATGTAGTTGGATATAACTCCCATCCTAGCGCTTACCATACTGTGTATGGTAGAATTGTTCTACCTGTCCCCACCTCACCCCATCTGTAAGTTCCATGGAGATGTTGACAATGTGTTGATATTATTTTTATTTCTAGTGTGTCTGACATGAGGGAGCTCTTGGCCAAAGCACTAGGCTGGTTACAAAAAGGTTGGTTCAGACGTACCAGGTGCTCTGTTGGAGAAAGACAAAGCATTGTGCTTCCATAAAAATTAACAGTCTTTGAAATTCTGTGGGGTAGTTCTACTCTGTCCTAAAGGGTTCAGTGAGTCAGAATTGACTCAGTTGCAGTGGATTTGGGGTTTAGGAGGTGTCTGACAATGATAAAGGTATGTAGTAAAGGTATTTAATATATAATTGAATTTAATTAATTATAGCCAAAAACAGTCAAAAGACTGGAATTGGCAACTTAAACTGAAAATGCCGGGGGTGGGGGGGCTGTGAATCAGTTAAATTACTGAAGAATTGAATAAAAAGAAAAATGACAATGCATAACTTCGGTATTCCAAGACACACAATAATCTCTACTGCTTATTTTACACACTTAGTAGAATGATTTAAAAACAAAGTATTGAAGATAAATGCAAAGACAGTGTTTACTTATTAAACTAACATGTCGAGAGTACATTGTTTTGGGTGTTCCACAGACACAAATCTGTAGTCTCTTAACATATAGTTTTTTTGTTAGGAGCCATCTAGTCAGCTCCGACTCATGGTGACCTTATGTAGCTTATGTAGCTTTTAGCGTAGAAAAAAAAATTACTGTTGGAGACATCAAGTTGAAAAGTTGATGATCTGACATGAAATAAGGCCTGTTACGATTTATTCTTCTTTAAAAGATTTGTATTGTGATTTGGGTGAAAGTTTACAGAGCAAATTTGTTTTCCCTATAGCAGTTCATATACATTTTGTTTGATGACATTAACTGCTGTCCCCATAATGTAACAATTCTCTTCCCACTTCTTCCCTATATTTAACCTCTTCCCTGTATCTTTCTTTCCTATGCATTTCTGCCCCCTGGGCTGTCTTCCTATGCAAATACTGCTCTTCTGTTCTCCTATGATTGATTGTTCTAAGGAATCTGTCTACCTGGTGTAAATCTTCACCCTGTGTGCCTATCTGTTACAATTTATTCTTGCAGAGGAAGTGCTCTTCAGAAAAGGTTGCGTGATAGGGAAAAGGAAATGGAAGCAGATGAGCGTGACAGAAAGAGAGAGAAGGAAGAGCTGGAGGAAATTAGGCAGCGCCTTCTGGCAGAGGGACACCCAGACCCAGATGCAGAGCTCCAAAGGGTAAGATATTCTGAGATTCATAACTATTTTGTTTTTAGGAGATTATCAAATCATCTTCAGCAAGCCAACCATAATGTAGTTTATTGTTGGGAGAAATACACTTCGTGATCCCTGTATCTGCATGCTATTTTTAGGGAGGATATTTGTCCTCTTTTTATGCAAATCACTAATACTGGTTGAGAATTTAATTATTCCAGACATCTTACTGATGCCTTGCTTTCTTGTTTTTTGTAAAGTATTGCCTAAGATAATGAATATCTTTTAATGAGACTTTGGTATAAATGTGTTCTTCCAGTAGTTGGCTTTAAAACTTAGAGCTTTCCATGATTTGAGTTCCATTCCAGTGCCACCTCATATATTATTTCTAAAATAATAATGTTTTCATGCATGTTTTTATCATTTAAAAAAATGAAAAAATCGTGTCATAGGACATTGACATACCAAAAAAAACCAAACTCACTGCCAGTGAGTTGATTCTGACCCATAGCAACCCCTCCTTGGGTTTCCAAGGCAGTCTCCCTATGGAAGTAAATTGCCCAGGCTTCCTTCTGAGGAGTGACTGGAGGGTTTGAACCGCCAGCCTTCTGGTTAGCTGTCTTAGGCACTGCGTCAACAGAGCTCCCAGAATATGCCATAACGTCTTCTGTTTTTGCTTTGACATACCCTATTCTTGGATTTAAGAATAGAATGTCCTTTTAGAAATGGTTTGTAGTTTTTAATATATCAAGAATCTAATAAAATGAATTCTTTAGAAGAACTTTAAAAGAAAAAAAACTGTTGCTTGTTTTTAGTTAATACAAACCGTGTTTTTTACATGTCACTTACTTTTCAAAAGGGAAGGTTTTTATGTTGATAAGATGTGTAATTACAGAAATCAGTAAAAAGTTTACACAACATAGAAAATAATGAAACTATAAACCATCTTGAACTCTTATCAGCCAGTATAAATACTACAAATGCTGAGGTAAGTACCCTTTTAAATGTTATACCACAAGTATAATATCCCCCTCACATCTGTTTTCTAAGTATGATTCTAATTTATATGCACTTTTCTAACTTTATATGAGTTCTATGCAAATTTTAGTATTTTATAACCTCTGCGTGATCTTTCTCTATACCTTTTCCATCATGACACTGCCAGAATTTTTGTTTGTTTGTTTGTTGTTTTTGGTGATTTGGGTGAAAATTTAAAGAGCAAATTCAATTTCCATGCAGTTCACATATACTTTGTCTCATGACATTGACTACAATTTACCCCAATGCAACAGTTCCCTTCCTCCTTCCTCCTGATAGTTACCTCTTCCCTGTGTCTGTCCCTCCATGCACTCCTGCCCACTGAGCTGTCTGCCTGTCATAAACAGTCTTTCTTTCTCCCATGATTGTTCTCTCCAAGGAGTATATCTACTTGAGGTAAATGTTCAACTCATATGCCTGTCTTTTGTTTGGCTGGAAGCCGCAGGTGTGGGTTCAGTTCCGCATCTTAAGGGCAGCTAGAGATCATAGTCTCAGTGGTTCCACCATGCTCTATCAGACCAGCAAACCTGTCCCCACCCCCTTTTTTCCTCCCATATTATACTGAGTTTTATTCCACATTGTTCTCCCTCTCTATCCAGAATCTCCTACATTGATCCCCCTCTGAATGGTTGACATTGGTAGCCAAGCACCATCTAGTTCTTCCTGGTCTCAGTCTTACAGGCTGAGGATCAAATGGTGTACCAGTCGCCAGGACTAATTGTTTCCATGAACTTTGGTTTTCTTCATTGTTCTTTGCTCTGGATGAGGAGAGACCCATCATTGCATCTAGATGGCTGCTTGCAAGCTTTTAAGATTCCAGTCAGTACCCGCCAAAGTAGGAGGTGGAACAGTGTTTTGTGTAGTAGGTTAATGTCAATTGAGCTTGATGTCCCCTGAGACTATGGTCCCAACCCTATCGGTTCAACTACTCATTCCTCCGGGTAGCTGGCTGTGACCAAGAAGTGACTACAGCCTTGCCCCTTGTCAGCTGTGCTATACACCTGGGAATTCTTATAGATTATACAAATACACTTATAGGATCATTGCCAAACCTATCCATGGTCTTGGGTACACTGCCCGCTGCATAGACATACCTACTAGTTCAGCCTGTCCACCCATCTGTCCACCCGTATACCCATTTTTACCTTCACTGACAACGCAGTACTGTATGTGCAGAAGGGTTCATCTTTGTCTCTACCTCCCAGGTACCTCTCTATGTCTTCCTCTTCCTGAATGCCACTATGTTGATCACTCATAGTTGGTACATTGCCCTTCTCTTCATCCAAATCAATACTTATTTCTACCTATCTAACAGTATTCCCTCCTCTCCCCTCCCACCCCTGGTAACCAACAAAGAAAACGTCCTTCCATAGATAAACATTTCCTTGACTTTTACAGTAACGGACTAATTCAATATTTGTCAAAATTTGAGCTCTGGTAGCATAGTGCCTAAGGCATTTGACTGCTAACCAGAGGGCTGGTGGTTTATACCCACCAGCCATTCCTCGGAAGGAAAGTTGGGCAATCTACTTCTGTACTGATACTGCCTTGGAAACCCAGGGAGGGGTCGCCATGAGTCGGGTCCGACTCGACGGCACATAACAACGACAACAACAACAACGGTGTTCTCTACTGTCCCCTCCCACCCCTGATAACCAACAAAGAAAATGTCCTTCCATCTGTAAACCTTTGCCAGGATTATTACTATTTTTTCATTGTAATCTTTAGATGTGAGTTTTTTGTTTCCTTAATTGTCTGACTACCACCGGGTTTGAACAGTTTATAGATTGTTTAATAGGTGTTTACATTTTCTTTATAACCTGCTACGTAGTAACATGATACCATGTTACTATGCAGAAATTATAAATTTTTACATAGTTGGATACTTACTTTCTATTATTTTTGTTAATGCTCACTCAGTTTTTACTAAGTTTTCATAATTGTTTTATTTATTTTTGATCATTTGGGGGCAGATATACCAAAACAGGTTTATAGCCTTTAACTCTCAGTTTCTTTCTTTTTTCTGTTTTTCCTTTCCCTATTGTTCATGAGGGAGCTCTGGTAGCATAGTGCCTAAGGCACTTGACTGCTAACCAGAAGGCTGGCGGTTCAAACCCACCAGCCACTCCTCGGAAGGAAGGTTGGGCAATCCTACTTCCGTAGTGACACTGCCTCGGAAACCCAAGGAGGGGTTGCTATGAGTCGGGGCCGACTCGACGTTACATAACAACAACAACAACAACAACATTGTTCATGAATACAAAGTGATACTTAGCCTCAGCTAAAGGCCTAGAGAGAACAAACAGTAGTACATGCCAAGTTGAGAATTCAAGCTACTTTTTTTATGTATTGTTTATACAAAATAAAACTTTGGGTTATACTTTTTAAAATAAAATACAAAAAACTACTTGTGAAATTCAGCAGATGACTATATATCTTTGTTCTCTCTGAAGAGATTATAGAAGCCTCTAGAGAATGCTAATATATATAAAGTTTTAAAAAAAGAATTTGACATAGCACCTAATACCCAATTTTCTAATTTTTTAAGTGCTTACTGCTTAGTTATTCCTGACCAACAAGGAAAACAGATATTTTAGGAAGGATGATGTAAGTAAAAAATAAATTGAACAATGTATTCTTGTAGTATTCTTAATCAGTCCGATTATTTTTTGGTTATAGATGGAACAAGAGGCCGAGAGGCGCAGGCAACCACAGATAAAGCAAGAACCAGAATCTGAGGAAGAAGAAGAAGAAAAGCAAGAAAAAGAAGAAAAACGAGAAGAACCCGTTGAAGAGGAAGAAGAACCAGAGCAAAAGCCCTGTCTTAAACCTACTCTGAGACCCATCAGTTCAGCCCCATCTGTTTCCTCTGCCAGTGGCAATGCCACCCCCAACACTCCTGGGGATGAGTCTCCCTGTGGAATTATTATTCCTCATGAAAATTCACCTGATCAACAACAACCTGAGGAACATAGGCCAAAAATAGGACTTAGTCTTAAACTGGGTATGTTATTATTTCCTTCCTTCCTTCCTTCCTTTTTTCATGAAAATACCGAAATTTTCCCTTAAGGAAAAAAATAAATATGTGGTGCTTGGAAGGTAGATAGAAAAATACTCAAAAATGTATTTTCTAGCTCACGATTGTTTTCATAGTTCTACTAGTGCTTCTGTATCTGCAGCTGCCTCGAGTTCTGAGAAGAAATGAAAAGTTAAATTTTCTAGCACTTGTGAGTAGTCAGTTACTTCTTAAAGTCGGGATATTTCTCTGAGATTTGTGAAAATACTAATTTTTGTAATGTCTTTGAGGGTTGATGGGTTGTAAATTTTAATATTTGAAAATTGAGTCATCATGCTGAGATAATATTTTTACTATAGGTGCTTCCAATAGTCCTGGTCAACCTAATTCTGTGAAGAGAAAGAAACTCCCTGTAGATAGTGTCTTTAACAAATTTGAGGATGAAGACAGTGATGATGTACCTCGAAAAAGGAAACTGGTTCCCTTGGATTATGGTGAAGATGATAAAAATGCTGCCAAAGGCACTGTAAATACTGAAGAGAAGCGCAAGCACATTAAGAGTCTTATTGAGAAGATCCCCACAGCCAAACCTGAGCTCTTTGCCTATCCCCTCGATTGGTCTATTGTGGATTCTGTGAGTAGCAGTGCTATGGGCGTGGTTTTGAATGTGAAAACAAACTCATTTCATTCTGTTAATGACAAGTAAGAGGTGATAGTGTGGTTGGAATCTTGACACCAAGTAAATGCTGTAGCCAAGAAAGGTAGATTATTGCAAAATTCTTGGGACCTAACCTACCTTGAAGTCAGCTTTTAAAAGATTAGAAGCAAAAAATATTATCTTGTTACCTACCCATTTTAGTTTTTACTTTAGGAGTATATTAGGTGAAAGCTAAGGATTCTTGGTTAATAATGACTGTAGCAAGAAAATATCTATTAAACAAATCACTCTAATGACGTAGTTTTGCCCGTTGTCTGATTTTCCTATCTTTTCTCATGTTTAAGCTTCCCTCTGAGGTCTCAAGTGTTTATATATGCAGTTGTAGTAATTTGTATTTTAGTAAGTTTTGAGGGAACATCCATGACATTTTAGTCTTAAGAAAAACAGCGAGGCTTTATAAATGTAATAAAAAACTAAAATTCTTTAATTCAGCAACCACACTTTGTTTTGCAGATACTGATGGAACGACGAATTAGACCATGGATTAATAAGAAAATCATAGAATACATAGGTGAAGAAGAAGCTACATTAGTTGATTTCGTTTGTTCTAAGGTTAGTCTCTTACTCCATATACTCTCAACATTTGTTTTCTAGATAAGAATATTGCACACTTTCTAAAATCAGGAAAAAAGTCTTTCAAAATCAAGTCTCTGACAGTTTAGTTTTAGTTAAGTGATTCAGGGCTGCTTAAATGAACTCCTTCGTCTCACTGCAGATCCCCCGTACCACATGCTTTCACTTCACACATCAAAGAGGTTGGAATTGCTGGAGGCTATCAGTTACGATTTGTTTCTTTCCCTAAGAATGGCATGCCACCCCCTTCTTGTCTTAAATGTTAGGATATTGGAGAAGTACAATTGATGTGGGTAATTTCTGGAGATAGCCTATAATGTGTCTCAATTCCTTTGTCAGCCTTCCATACTTTGGAAGAACAAAATAGTCCCTTCTATAATATTATAGTCAATGTTGATTGATTGCTGTATGCCAAGCTTTGTCCTTGGTAAGCATTTTATTGAACTTATCTCCTTTAAACCTTTTCATAAACCTTAGGAAGTCTTAATTGCTAATATTATCATATTATCCCCCAATTTATGGATGAAGAAACTGAGGCTTAATAAAAGATTGTGTCTTGGCCAAGTTATATGGTAAGTAGCAGAGCCAAGCCTCCAAAACCCATGCACTTAATAACCAAAATTTAGTATCTCCTGAAAACAAAGTCATTATAGTTACTATACTAGAAGCTCCATATTCCTGTAAAGGTATAACTATAATTGCATTTCAAGGAAATAGTATTTTCCCACCAGTACTGTTTTAATATTAGAGCAAACACATCTAGGCTGCCCTTACTACTAGCATTAAAACTTGTAGAAGTGAGATCTGGCTTTGATGAAGAAGACAGACACGTTACTGATTAAGACCTCAGGTTTTGGTTTCACACTTCGATTAAAAGAGTGGGATTCTGAGGAATTGAAAACTTCATAGGAAGATTCCTCAGCCAGAGGAAATTCCTATTCCAGTTTGAGGGTCTGTCCCTTAAAATTCCTTATCTGTAGTGCTCAGTTTTTATTTTCAAAGTGACAGTTACTTGTTTCTTTCAGGTTATGGCTCACAGTTCACCTCAGAGCATTTTAGATGATGTTGCCATGGTAAGTAAGAAATTTGCTGTTGTTATTATTTATCAATGTGAACAGTGACTCCTCTGAATTTAATTTTCTACATATGTTGGTTTCAGACTCTTTTTATAGTTGTGAATTAAAATTTAAACATTCATGGAAAGGTAAAAGACATGCATTGTAAGGTCCATTACATAAGACTAATGTTAGGATTTTCTTTGTTTTTCACCAGCTCCTACCCCTGTGGTGTTTGTGTGTATAAATCCAGTTGTCTAGTCCGTTATTCTAAGAAACCTCAGAGTATCCTTGACTCCTTCCTGACCATTCATATTTAATTAGTACAAACCATTTGCCAATAAATTGACCCTAACTTGTGGCAACTGTGTGTGTGTCAGAGTAGAACAGAGGTTCCATAGGCTTTTCAGTGGCTGATTTTCTTGAAACTAGATTGCCAGGCATTTCTTGCAAGGCACTCCTGGGTGGAGGTGTTGTGGGGGTGGTAGGTGGAGGCTTGCATTTTGACGTGCAGCCAAGAATGGCAGGAAGGGGCAGAGTGGGTATCTGAACCAAAAGGAGCTCTGTGGTCAAGGTGCTGAGTAAGTGTCTGCATTCCGTGATGGCTGCAGCCAGCTAAGACTCATTTTCTGTCTGTCCAGCCAACCTGATGAAACTGTTTGAATTCCTGATAAAACATTTGGGAAAAATGTCTTGCCTCCACACTGCTTAGCTTCAAAGGAAAGAGATGTGTGAATGGGCCCTGGTCCTTGATAGTGGAATCTGAACTTTCCTGAGCTTCTAGCTTTTATTTAAAGTTTATCCCTGGAGTAGAGAGTGGGAATTGTATTTGGACATGAGTGTATCAGTGTTGTAGTGTTTGGCCTCAGCAGAGTTGCAGCCATTGTTAGTGAAAGTTACATGTATTATCTTAAATCAAGTCTGATCTGTTGAAGTACTCTGATACTTGGAATGTAATTAGTTAGTTCTTTATTCACTTCTTACATGGTTTGGATTATTTTCTGGCTCATTGTTGACCAGCATAGGAAGAAACCAGCTGAACCAGTATTGTCAGTCAACTCTGGTAACAAAGTTTATGGGCCCCCTAAGTGTTAATTGGGAGCTCTGGTAGCATAGTGGCTAAGGCACTTGACTGCTAACCAGAAGTCCTGCAGTTCAAACCCACCAGCCACTCCTCGGAAGGAAGATGGGGCAATCTACTTCTGTAGTGATACTGCCTCAGAAACCCAAGGAGGGGTCGCTATGGGTCGGGTCCGACTCAACGGCACATAACAACAACAACAACAAAGTGTTAATTGCATGAATGAGGGCATTGGATTTTTAGCTAGTATTTATAATAATGTTGTTCCTATTAAATGTCTGACTTTTTCAAATTACTGCCTTTCCTCATTTTGTATTATGAACTTTTGTTATATATTGTGGCTAAATCCCTACTATTTCAAAGGTGTAACTGTCACATTATTTACTGCTACACCATAGGTCCAAACTGTGAGTCAGATCTGACGCAGATGTCTAACTAAATAGTTCTTTAGTTACCATTATTGAGAAATTTAGGGCAATTTTTGATAAAAATCCAGATTTCCTTCTTCTCACGGGTACTTTTTGAGCACTTGTTGTAATACCAGACACTATTAAAAGCACTTTGTGCATGCTAATTCTCTTAGTTACACAGTAGTACCTACCCCTGGTGGTATTGCTGGTTAATTATTTCTTCCATTTTATAGATGAAAGAACTCATGCCCAATGAGGTTAAGTAACCCATCCAAAGATTGTGGTTAGTGAGAGGTAGAAGTGGAATTTGGTCCCAAGTACTTTGACTACTCCTTCTCTTAATTCATACCCTCAACTACCTTTATGAGATGAACCCATGTTCATAAACTAATGTTACCAATTAGGCCACATTCCGTCATGACAGTGATACCCTGGAGGTCAGTCATTGCTGCCTCCTTTTGAAGCATGTGGGATAAGGGAAGAAGTATCAGTGGGGACATTACACACCTATCTCAGAAGATGGGAAGATACTTTGATCATTTGCCAAGGGGGAAAAACATGTTGTTTTCAAAAAAACCTTGTGTCTCTTGTGATGATAAGTGTTCACTTACTCTTTTAACTGTATCCTAGACACTATATTAAATGCTTTGTATGTATTTTCATTTACTGTTTAACTCCATGTCACATACATAATTAAACACTTGGTAAATGTTAGTTAAAATTTAGGTTGTTTGGGGGTAATGAGATAGTCTCTATGAAGTTACTATGTAGTCTTATATTTAGATCTGCCCAAATTAGCCTATTGTTTATAAGAAATATTTGTGTTCTTTCAGAGGTAGTTTTGCCAGATATGTGCAATGTAGCCTATGTAAAGATAAAATGGATCAGAAAAGTACTGTAGTGTTAATGTTTAAGTAAGCCATGGAATTTTGCTGAATGAATCCTTTTTGTTTTTAAGTAATTTACTTGTATTGCTTAATGTATTTCCTATATTATGATACTATTTTATTTTGTTTTCAGTAAAAGTCTACACAACAAATTAGATAGCAATTTCTCACATTAGATTTTAAGTCCTCTACTTGAAAATAAATGCTTGTCAGTAGATAAAACTTTTTTTGTGCTGGTCACTATTGTTGGAGATGTTAGTGATTTTTTATGTTACTTGTGTTATTTTCTTTCTCCTCTAGGTACTTGACGAAGAAGCAGAAGTTTTTATAGTCAAAATGTGGAGATTATTGATATATGAAACAGAAGCCAAGAAAATTGGTCTTGTGAAGTAAAACTCTTTTTGCATTTAGAGTTCCACTTCAGATTTCTTCTTTCCCACCCTTCAAAGGACTTTGAAATTTTCTTTGTCCTTAAAGACATTTGTGAGATCTGTAATTTTTTTAATGTAGAAAATGTGAATTTTTTGTCCTCTGATTTGTTGATGCCCTGTGTACTCCCTTGGTTGTAAAGTCATCTGACTCTTACCTTGGTTATCTTTATACTCAGCAGGTACAAATTACTGGTATGTTTTATAAGCCACAGCTACTGTACACAGCCTATCTGATACAATCTTGTTCTGCTGATTGGTTCCTTGTAAATATTAAAATGACTCCCCACTTAATATTGAACTGTACTGTTTAGGAACAAACATGAATGATTTTAATTGAAAGAATACCAGTTATATCTATTATCCCCCTTTAATCAGAAAGGGCAAGTCCTCATGAAGGTGTGGAATTTAAAATTAGAATGTAAAAATTAGTGGATAATCCATTCCTCCCATATCTCTGTATGAATGTGTTTGTGTGAATGTTTGTGTAAAAAGGCTTACTTTTCCTTAATTTGCTTTTGAGAGCTCCTTTAAACATTTCCTAATTGCAGAATAGAATCGAAAAGAAAAAGTGATGTTGTGCCAACCCAAATCTCTGGGATAATTAGGTTTATTAGTTTCCCAGAGAATGGTATTCCGTTGTGAGCAACATTCTGTTGACCAGGATGGGGTTTCCCTCTTTATGGCTGACTGCTTCACCCTCTCTATTAAGGGAGTGTGTATCATAGTGATTTCCCCTTAATTTATTGTTCAGAAACGAGGCAGATCCTTAGATTTTGGAGAGCTTTATTTCATCCATTTTTCACTCTAATTAGTCCTTAATTTTGATGTGCCCTTTTGGAAATTTTTATTTAAATCTTCCTTCCAAAGGCATAAGTTAAAAAAAAAAAAAAATTCTAAGGAAAAAAGAACCAGACAAGATAAAATGAGGCAGTTTTGCACAGTAGGAAGTTTCATTAACAAATTTAATTCCACTTGGCAGTTTACAAGGTTTACATCTTACTTCTAAGGAGAAAAATAAATTATTTATGGCAGTTATCAACCACTACTAATTTTTTATCTTCATATTCTGTAAAGGGATTATATTGTGTGTGTATGCTTACTTATACACACAACAAATTGTTTTATCTCTGCTTATCAAAGTTTAAAAATATACTGATGATGTGCTTAAAGACATACATAGGCTGTCTTTATTGTAGATCAGAACTTCACCAGGGAGCAAAATTACCTGAAAATGTAACAAGTTTTAAACCGTTCATAACACAAAGTAGGTGCAGCTGTTCTCATGTCAGTGTATTTATTTAAAAGAAGGATAAAGATTGGTGTGTTAGAGAAGCATAACTGTGAGCTTGAGTTACTAGATTTTTTTACATCTTAAGAGGACATTTGATGAAAACACTGTTCTTAACATTGAAACATGAAATGGTTGCATTATGTAAATATTTCAAATATTAAAAATGTATATATTTGAAGGACTCATTGTTTCAGTCTTGTTAAATAAATGGCATCATGTAATTGTGCAGTGAATACTAGGAAACTTAACTTGAAAATATGGGCTGAAATTGTGGTTGGCCTGATGGTGACTCTTTTTTGCATATTAGTAGCTGAACATACACTACCCAGCTATAGAATTTTCCTTATTATTTTAATTTCATATGTGTCAAATTCTGGTTTCTCAAGGGAAAATTTCAGGAAGATTCCTCTTGCCATTACAAATTTTTTCCTTTTGCCACATCCGCTTTCATTCTATACACAATGTCAGACCTTTTGCCTTAGCAATTTGTTAGGCTTTTATGTCTTATCATACTGCATAGTTAACTGTTTTTAAGGCATCATATCAGTCTGTTACTATTTAGCCAACATTAGCATGAAGGTTCATTTAGGTAGGGTTAATTTCCCTTGCTCTGGTCTCTTCCGTTCTTTCAGCTGTTGTTAGGTGCCATCGAGTTGGCTCTAACTCATAGCAACCTTGTATACAACAGAATGAAACACTGCCTGGTCCTGCGCCAGCCTCACTGTCCTTGCTCTCCTGATCCCATCGTTGGCAGCCACTGTGTCGGTCCACTTTGTTGAGAGCCTTCGCCTCTTTCGCTGACCCTTCACTTCACCAAGCATGGTATCCTTCTCCAGGGAACGGTCCCTTCTGACAACATGACCAAAACAAGTGAGACAAAGTCTGGCCATTCTTACTTCCAAGGAGGTAGATTTGCCTAGTGCAGTACATTGTCTGATTTTTGACTGTTGCTTCAGTGTTGATTGTGGATCCAAGTAATATGAAAATTTTGACAACTTAAGCTGAACTTACCTTAAAAGACCCTTCTAAAAGCTAGAGCTATCCCTTATCTGAAACCCTTGAGGGCATAACAACCCTCAGTGGGGTTTGTGGCAAGACTTCAGACTTAAACATTAACATTTCTGTATAGAACTGGAATAGTCACACTAAGTGGGATAAATACTGTTAATAGCTGAATACTGGTTCAAGTCAGGTTTTACCACCAAGCTTAATGAAAACCTTTTGGTTCTCAGAGCTGCTTGTTTTTCAGAATTTTACTTGTAGAATTGGAGATATATATATATATATATATATATATGTTATATATATATATATATATATAGGCATATTCTAGTGTGTCTGGAAAAATACATAGGACATGTTTCTAATAAATTCCTTGTGCTCTTTGGGTTGTCTTTACCATAAGCCCACAAATTAATTTGTTTGGAAACTCTATACTCATACTTCCCATTCAAAGTAGAAAAACTATGAAAGTCAAATTCTCGATCTAACAAATTATATAGGAAACAATTTTCTTTTACAAAATTAATTCGCTTTTCCTCAATTTACCTATACATAATTGTAAACATGTGCATCTGTTTACAAGGAGAAAAGGTAATTATTTGGAGTAGTTTTTCCTCAAACTTAAGTGTGCATCTGGATCCCAGGGAAATCTTCTGGCAGGCTGATTTAGTGGGTCTGGGGTGAGGCATGAGATTTTGCATTTCTATGCAGCTACCAGGTGATGCCACTACTGATAGTGCAAAGACAGTGCTTTGATTAGCAAGGGTTTAAAGTATAGACAGTCCCGGGCTTTGAATTTGCCCTTTAATGTTAGATAAATTTACCGTCACTTTGAAACTATTGAACCAATCCCTCTTGGCAACACTTTCTTTGCTACAGTCACCTTCATTTGCTATGCTTGCTGCTTTTAAATATGGAAAAAGTCTTTCTGTCTTTCCTTGGACCCAAACCAAACCAAGCTCACTGCCATTGAGTTGATTCTGGCTCATGTTGTTGTTATGTGCTTTCGAGTCAGACCTGACTCATAGCGATTCCTCCTTGGGTTTCCAAGGCGGTATCACTACGGAAGTAGATGGCCCAACTGTCCTTCCAAGGAGTGGCTGGTGGGTTTGAACTGCCAGCCTTCTGGTTAGCAGTCGAGTGCCTTAGGCACTATGCTATGAGAGCTCCCACTTCTGGCTGATAGCAACCCTATAAGACAGAGTAGAACTGCAGACTGCCTTATCTTTCTCCCTCAGAGCTGTTGGTGGGTTCAAACTGCAGAGCTCTTGCACAGCAGCCTGATGCTTTAACCAAAGCACTGCCAGAGATTTTTTTTCTTTTTTTTAATATTAATTTTAGAATTTTATTGTGGTTAAAATATACACACAAAGGCATTCACTAACGTAATTCTACATTTACAGTTTAGGGACATTGATGACATTTTTCATGTTGTGCCACCATTATTGCATTCTGTAACTTTGTTTTTTTTTTTCAATTATATTGTGATTTGGGTGAAAATTTACAGAGCAAATTCATCTTCCATATAGCAGTTGACTTTGTTTCATGACATTGACTGCAATCTCCCACAGTGCAACAGCTCTCATCCCACTTCCTCCCCATAACTACCTTTTCTCTGTGTCCTTCCCTCCTAGGCACTTTTGCCCTGAGCTGTCTCCTTGTGCATACACAGCTTTTCTGTTCTCCCATGATTGATCTCTCCAAGGAGTGTATCTACCTAATGTAAATGTTCATCTCATAGGTCTGTCTTTTGTTAGGGTAGAAGCCACATGAGTGGGATCAATTCCAGACTTGAAGGGCAGCTGGGGGCCATAGCCTTGGGAGTTCCTTGGTTACCTTTATAATCTATCAGAGCAGCAAACCTGATCCCTACTCTTTTTTTTTCTCTCTTTTTTAATGATTTTGAGTTTTATTCCACATGTTCTCCTACTCTATCCAGGATCTCGTACAAAGATTCCCCTCCAAGTGGTTTACAGTGGTAGCCGGGCACCATCTAGTTCTTCTGGTCTCATAGTC